AAAATGATACAAGTCCATGGAGCCCAACCAATGAGGATGAATGGAAGGCGGCCTCTCCGAGGGATTGTTTGATCTTCCTGCAGATCAATAGAAGACGAAGGTTGGAAAAGGTCGAACATTTCCAGACAGACATTCTTACCTTGTTACTGTGTTGGAGGATTAGAACAACAAACCTTCCATCCCCCCCATAGAGACCCAATACAGGCCTTCCATCCCCCCCATAGAGACGCTATACAGGCCTTCCATCCCCCCCATAGAGACGCTATACAGGCCTTCCATCCCCCCCATAGAGACGCTATACAGGCCTTCCATCCCCCCCATAGAGACGCTATACAGGCCTTCCATCCCCCCCATAGAGACGCTATACAGGCCTTCCATCCCCCCCCATAGAGACGCTATACAGGCCTTCCATCCCCCCCATAGAGACCCTACACAGGCCTTCCATCCCCCCCCCATAGAGACGCTATACAGGCCTTCCATCCCCCCCATAGAGACCCTACACAGGCCTTCCATCCCCCACCTAGAGACCCTACACAGGCCTTCCATCCCCCACCTAGAGACCCTACACAGGCCTTCCATCCCCCACCTAGAGACCCTACACAGGCCCTGCATCCCCCACATAGAGACCCTATACAGACCTTCCATCCCCCACATAGAGAACCAATACACGCCTTCCATCCCCCACATAGAGACCCTACACAGGCCTTCCATCCCCCACCTAGAGACCCTACACAGGCCCTGCATCCCCCACATAGAGACCCTATACAGACCTTCCATCCCCCACATAGAGACCCAATACAGGCCTTCCATCCCCCACATAGAGACCCAATACAGGCCTTCCATCCCCCACATAGAGACCCAATACAGGCCTTCCATCCCCCACATAGAGACCCTATACAGACCTTCCATCCCCCACATAGAGACCCTATACAGACCTTCCATCCCCCACATAGAGACCCTATACAGGCCTTCCACCCCTCACATAGAGACCCTACAAAGGCCTTCCATCCCCCCACATAGAGAACCAATACACGCCTTCCATCCCCCACATAGAGACCCTATACAGACCTTCCATCCCCCACATAGAGACCCTATACAGACCGTCCATCCCCCACATAGAGACCCTATACAGACCTTCCATCCCCCACATAGAGACCCTATACAGACCTTCCATCCCCCACATAGAGACCCTATACAGACCTTCCATCCCCCACATAGAGACCCTATACAGACCCTATACAGGTCTTCCATCCCCCACATAGAGACCCTACAAAGGCCTTCCATCCCCCCACATAGAGAACCAATACACGCCTTCCATCCCCCACATAGAGACCCTACAAAGGCCTTCCATCCCCCACATAGAGACTCAATACAGGCCTTCCATCCCCCACATAGAGACCCTATACAGACCTTCCATCCCCCACATAGAGACCCTATACAGACCTTCCATCCCCCCCCCATAGTGACCCAATACAGACCCTATACAGGTCTTCCATCCCCCACATAGAGACCCAACACAGGCCTTACATCCCCCACATAGAGACCCTATACAGGCCTTCCATTCCCCACCTAGAGACCCTACACAGGCCTTCCATTCCCCACCTAGAGACCCTACACATACCTTCCATCCCCCATATACAGACCTTATACAGACCTTCCATCCCCCATATACAGACCTTATACAGACCTTCCATCCCCCATATACTGACCTTATACAGACCTTCCATCCCCCATATACTGACCTTATACAGACCTTCCATCCCCCATATACTGACCTTATACAGACCTTCCATCCCCCATATACTGACCTTATACAGACCTTCCATCCCCCATATACTGACCTTATACAGACCTTCCATCCCCCATATACTGACCTTATACAGACCTTCCATCCCCCATATACTGACCTTATATAGATCTTTGATTATTTTTGGAAAGGATTATCATGTCAGGAGGAATACTCCCTTCCCAAACCACACAAGTGTGAAAATTATTATTATTCTCACCTTCCTGGAGATCTCAGATTGTGGAGCCAAGAAACCAATTCCAAGGAATGAGTGAACTACAACTGTATCATGGACATCAACTTGCTGCTTTCTTCCCTGTTTTCTGTTAAGATACACGCCATCACCTTATATACAGATTACTGATCCAGCGCTGCTTCCTCCTCCTCTATCTGACCAGACACACGCCGTCACCTTATATAGAGATTACTGATCCAGCGCTGCTTCCTCCTCCGCTATCTGACCAGACACACGCCGTCACCTTATATACAGATTACTGATCCAGCACTGCTTCCTCCTCCGCTATCTGACAAGATACACGCCATCACCTTATATACAGATTACTGATCCCGCGCTGCTTCCTCCTCTGCTATCTGACAAGATACACGCCATCACCTTATATACAGATTACTGATCCAGCGCTGCTTCCTCCTCCTCTATCTGACCAGACACACGCCGTCACCTTATATACAGATTACTGATCCAGCACTGCTTCCTCCTCCTCTATCTGACCAGACACACGCCGTCACCTTATATACAGATTACTGATCCAGCGCTGCTTCCTCCTCCTCTATCTGACCAGACACACACCGTCACCTTATATACAGATTACTGATCCAGCGCTGCTTCCTCCTCCACTATCTGACCAGACACACACCATCACCTTATATACAGATTACTAATCCAGCACTGCTTCCTCATCCACTATCTGACCAGACACACGCCGTCACCTTATATACAGACTACAGCACTGCTTCCTCCTACTATCTGACCAGACACAGCACTGATTACTGATCCTGCTTCCTCCTCCTCTATCTGACCAGACACACGCCGTCACCTTATATACAGATTACTGATCCAGCGCTGCTTCCTCCTCCTCTATCTGACCAGACACACGCCGTCACCTTATATACAGATTACTGATCCAGCGCTGCTTCCTCCTCCACTATCTGACAAGACACACACCGTCACCTTATATACAGATTACTGATCCAGCGCTGCTTCCTCCTCCACTATCTGACCAGACACACCCGTCACCTTATATACAGACTACTAATCCAGCACTGCTTCCTCCACCTCCACCCACTATCTGACCAAGACACACACACTGTCACCTTATATACTAATCCAGACTGCTTCCTCCTCCACTATCTGACCAGACACACACTGTCACCTTATATACAGATTACTGATCCAGCACTGCTTCCTCCTCCACTATCTGACAAGACACACGCCGTCACCTTATATACAGATTACTGATCCAGCACTGCTTCCTCCTCCACTATCTGACAAGACAACCTCACTTATATACAGATTACTGATCCAGCACTGCTTCCTCCTCCGCTATCTGACAAGACACACGCCGTCACCTTATATACAGATTACTGATCCAGCACTGCTTCCTCCTTCCTCCTCCACTATCTGACAAGACAAGCCCTGACACCTTATATACAGATTACTGATGACAAGACAGCACTGCTTACTGATCCTCCTTCCACTACTATCTGACAAGACACACGCCGTCACCTTATATACAGATTACTGATCCAGCACTGCTTCCTCCTCCACTATCTGACAAGACAAGCCCTGACACCTTATATACAGATTACTGATCCAGCACTGCTTCCTCCTCATATGATAAAACACTCATTTTTTTTCCAAACTGTCAAATGTAGTAGAAGAAAACCAGAGAAAATTCAGATGTGACTTGTGTAAACCGTACCACTGTGCTGCATCTGTGAACAATGGATCTTCAGTGTTTGTAAATATATCTGACACTGTGCCTCTGTTTCCAAGGAATAGATCCATGTCTGCAGGAAAAGGAACCATCGCACCTCCAACAACTATTCCATTCACTGATTTCCAAGTAACTGTTTTGTTTATTTCTCAAGAAGTCAGAGATTGTGGTACACAATGACTGAGAAAAATGGGACAGGATAAAGGTGAGATATGTACCATGGTCTGCCCCTAAAGTGTATGTATACCCCAGAAATGAGACTCTCTTATTTGCTCCTTTTCTGGCTGCTAAATATACAATTGAAAGTGTTGATTTGTAATATTTTCCATCATAATTTATGTCATTGTTCCCTGACCAATGCCATTCCACAGTGTCGCACTCACAGATTTTTTTTTTACATAGTTGCAAACTTTGGATGTGCTACACATGCCCTAAAAATGTAATCATTGTGCACAGGACATGTGTAGCATGTCCAGTCTCTCTGCCCTGCTTCTGGGACCCCTCTTCCCAGTATACAGTAATTTTCAGCAGCTGTGAAGAAGTCACAGAAGTCGGATGCTGTGGCTGTCAAAAAAGCAGTTATAAATAAAACTGCTCCACAATTATACAAAGATACAAGGTAACATATTGTTACTTTTGTATCTTTCTGTTTATTCAAACCAAAGGGATGAACTTGGATCTGCAAATGATGTCAATTAAAACAACCTGACAAGTTAAAAAAAAAAAAAATTGTCACAAAAAGTTCCTCTGTTTAACCCCTTGTTAACCTTTAGTTTACTTTCAGCCCTAATTAACTCCTTAGTCTCCTTCCCTCTTCAACTATTATTTTCCATCTGTTTTTTGGTTTGCGTCTATTTTATTAACGTTTAATGATTAGACTTTTTTTGTTTTGTTTGGTAATATTTTTACACCTTTAACATATATTTACACATTTCCCATTTTAAAAAAAAAAAGTGCAACAATGGAAAAAAAACAAACACTTTATTTCATTTGTAAGTAACTTTGCAATACTTTGTAGCAGAATCATCATTTTAGGCTCCTTTCACACTGAGCTGAGTGTTTTTCAGGTGTTTTTTCAAGCGGGTTTTTTTTTCAGGTTTTTTTTTAGCAGATTTTCAAATATTCTAGGCATTTTTTTCAGGTGTTTTTCATTTAGGCGTTACATAGTCTGGCTGAAAAAAGACAAAAGTCCATCCAGTTCAACCATAGAAAAAAAAAAAAACAAGTTATAATCCTACACCCACAGTTGATCCAGAGGAAGGCAAAAAAAAAAACCAGCAAAGCACGATCCAATTTGCTCCTGCAGGGAAACAATTCCTTCCTGATCCCCCGAGAGGCAATCGGATATTCCCTGGATCAGCTTTACCTAGAAATGTTATATCCAGTTCAGGGGCGGACTGGTAACTCATGGGGCCCCCGGGCAATAGGGGATCATGGGGCCCCTGTGTCCTTGCCCACACTGAAAAAAGCCTATAAAAAAGGTACCAGGGGCATCTCATGGGGCCCCCTACTGACCCCGGGCCCTTGGGCAGTGCCCGAGTTTCCAAATGGTCAGTCCGCCCCTGCTACCTACATTGTCTCTATGTGCAGGGAAAACCAATTCTGGATCTCAGCCAAAAGTCTGTATTCTGACCACCGGAGTCCTTCTTTAAGCTGATCCTGTTCATACTGTACCTATGTGAGAAAAGATATTGGGGGGTGATTTACTAAAACTGGAGAGTGCAAAATCTGGTGCAGCTCTGCACAGAATGACCATGCCTGCGTCATCCTTTGTTTTCCCCACAATGGAGCTGCTGATCTTCTCCAGCCTCTTTCAGCCACTTCTTGTCCACTACTTGCTCCAGCATCAGCGGCACATCATCGCTCTGGACGGGCTTCCAGTGCACAAGTTTCCAAATGGTCAGTCCGCCCCTGCTCCAGTTATATTCTGTGTATCCAAGAAATAATCCAGGACTTTCCTACAGCAATCCACTGAGCTGGCCACAACCAACTCCTGAGGGAGTCTATTCCACAGTTTTTTGTTGCGACCAATAGAAATAGCTGCTGTTTGAGCTGAAAACGCTTGAAAAAACAATTGAAAATACACTCATTCCCACTGTTCAGGTGTTTTCCATTCAAGTCTATGGGGACAAAATGCTCAGATCTACCTGAAAAGTAGCAACAAAATGTTCATATGTGAACAAGGGCCATAGAAATGAATTGGATTTTGCTTGTTGAGAGTTTCTGAGCGCCAGGCGTGGAGCTGAAAAACGCCCTAGTGTGAATGGAGCCATAGTGTCATTTTAAACAGGACAAATTATAGAAGAAAATGTTTATATTTTTTGTGTAAAGACCCTATTTATTTTTAAACTAACATTGCTGAAAAAAAATAAAAAGTGTGTATTGTTTAATTTTGTTGCCGTTTAGGATTGTAAAAATTGCTCTTGTCCATAGGGGGTGCTCAGGTTTGGGGGGGGGAATTAAAGGAAAATGTTGCTTTAATATACAGAAAAACAATTGTACAGCCCAGACATATAGAGAGCACATAACAGCTGAACATATGTCTATACAATATAGCGTCTCAGTACAAAAAAGAAAAATCATCAGTTACACGCCTAGAGCAAGACCTTTCTTTCTAGTATGTAAGTCAAACAGCAAAGAATAGAACTAGCAACCTAAACCAGCATACCTGTGTAAATATTTAATTTTATTTTATTTATTTCAGGTACTTATATAGGACGTCAATTTACACAGCGCTTTACATATATATTGTACATTCACATCAGTCCCCGCCCCCGAGGAGCGTACAATCTAAGGTCCCTAACTCACATTCATACATACACATACTAGGGACAATTTAGACAGGAGCCAATTAACCTACCAGCATTTCTTTGAAGTGTAGGAGGAAACTGGAGTACCCCGAGGAAACCCACGCAGGCACAGGGAGAACATGTAAACTCCAGGCAGGTGGTGCCGTGGTTGGGATTCAAACCAAATATCTGTAAATAAATCATTATTCCTGTAGTATCATAGCTTGTGAGTCCAGCTAGTGGGACCAAAGTTTACCAAACTTCTTTGGGCATCCTCTAGCCTCGTATGTGAGTTTACACACAGGAATGACTTGCTTAATAAGACCGAGCCAATCAGAGTGGGAGGGACGCAGGATTTCCATTTCAGTTTCTTGCCATAGGAAAACAATAATTAAAAAAGTTGTTTTGTGCAATTAGGGAGATTATCTTTCTCTAAATGCCCCAATAAGCATCATGGAGGGTTATATACACTACATTGCCAAAAGTATTGGGCCAGCCCAATCATGTGATTCAGGTGTTCCAATCCCCTCCATATCATGTGATTCAGGTGTTCAAATCCCCTCCATGGACACAGGTGTATACAATCAAGCCCCTAGGCATGCAGACAGCTTCTACAAACATTGTTGAAGGAATGGGTCGCTCTCAGGAGCTCAGTGACTCCAAGCGTGGTCCCGTGATAGGTGGTCACCTGGGCAATAAGTCCATCCGTGACATTTCCTGGCTACTAAATATTCCACGCTCAACTGTTAGTGGGATTATAACAAAGTGGAAGCAACTGGGAACAACAGCAATTCAGCCACCGAGTGGTAGTCCACGTCACATGACAGGGCGGGGTCAGTGCATGCTGAAGCGCACAGTGTGCAGAAGTCACCAACTGTCTGCAGAGTCAATAGCTAAAGACCTCCAAACTTGGTGTGGCCTTCAGATGAGCCCAACAACAGTGCGTAGAGAGCTTCATGGAATGGGTTTCCATGGCCGAGCAGCTGCATCCAAGCCTTCCATCACCAAGTGCAATGCAAAGCGTCGGATGCCGTGGTGTAAAGCACGCCGCCACTGGACTCTAGAGCAGTGGAGGCGTTCTCTGGAGTGACCATTCACGCTTCTCTGTCTGGCAATCCAATGGACGTGTCTGGGTCTGGCAGTTGCCAGGAGAACGGTACTTGCCTGACTGCATTGTGCCAAGTGTAAAGTTTAGTGGAGGGGGGATTATGATGTGGGGTTGTTTTTCAGGGGTTTGGCTTGGCCCTCTAGTTCCTGTGAAGGGCACTCTTAAGGAGACATTTTTGGACAATTTCATGCTCCCAACTTTGTGGGAAGAGTTTGGGGATGGCCCCTTCCTGTTCCAACATGACTGCCCACCAGTGCACAAAGCAAGGTTCTTCTGTGATTATAGAAGCTGTGATTGTTTGGTCCGGTCCACTTAGGGATTCACAGGCTGGGAGTTTGAGTGCTTCCCCCACCTCTAGAAGAAGTTTCTGGAGCTTAGGGAGGATGAATTCAAATGACCAGCCTAAATATTGAGTAGGGACTAGACAATTCCTTGGGGAGGTGTGCCCAGATGGTGAGGTTAGGATGCGGTTAAATAGTCTGGAGCCCTGAGGAGATTTCCATTTCCCGCTTGTGGAGATGCATCTGTGAGCTGAGAAGAGGGGAGCTGCTTGGCCCTGGAGCCCCTTTGAACTGGATGCTGGGCTACGGTACAAGAGGCTGCACCTATGGACTGCTTCCTTTTCCAGGATCCTGTGAGTAGAGCCTCTTTTTGCGCTGCACTGCAATGCATGGTCCCCAGCTGTAAATTGTTCCAGTCTACCTTTACCTGTGCTAAAGCTACTACATGGTCCCTAGCTGCGAACCTGTGAACTATTCTAGTCTACCTTCACCGGTGTTAAAGATGCCTCATGGTCCCCAGCCATGAACCTTTAAACTGTTCCAGTCTACCTTCACCTGTGCTAAAGCTGCCTCATGGTCCCCAGCCATGAACCTTTAAACTGTTCAAGTCTACCTCCACTTGTGTTAAAGCTGCCTCATGGTCCCCGGCCATGAACCTGTGGACTATTGTAGTCTACCTTCACCTGTACAAAAAGCTGCTTCGTGGTCCCCAGCCGTGTATCTATAAACTGTTCAAGTCTACCTTCACCTGTGCTAATGCTGTCTCATGGTCCCCAGCCGTGAACCTTTAAACTGTTCCAGTCTACCTTTACCTGTGCTAAAGCTGCTTCATGGTCCCCAGCCGTGAACCTTTAAACTGTTCCAGTCTACCTTTACCTGTGCTAAAGCTGCTTCATGGTCCCCCCAGCCATGAACCTTTAAACTGTTCCAGTCTACCTTTACCTGTGCTAAAGCTGTCTCATGTTCCCCAGCCATGAACCTGTGGACAATTGTAGTCTACCTTCACCTGTGCTAATGCTGCCTCATGGTCCCCAGAACCGTGAACCTATAACCTGTTCTTGTGATATGTATTCTTGTGCTTATGTTACTAATTGAGAGACAGAAGTGTCCCTGGCCAATGCCTGATGTTTTGGGAGTATCCCAGGTCACCAAAAATTCAATCCAAAGTTCCAAAATATCAGACTAACCATGGTCAACGATGTAAGTATATAATACGGTAAATCCTCCAAACAACCCAATAAGCTACTCGATTCTGAATAGAAAATAACTTTCAACCCTACAAAGCTACAAACATCAAAAATTTGATCTACAAGAATCATCCAACCCACCTACTAGTGAAAAACCCCCTCTTCCAAAATATCAATAAGTGCTCTACAGATGATAGATGTCCAAACACATAAATCCACACAAAATGTTAAATAAGTGTCTTAACGTCCAAAATAAAAGTATCTTAATACGTCCCACTTGAAATCACTTCTTTATAGTGTTGTAATCCTCAGAACAGCTTCCACGGAAACCCTCAAAGAATCAAAAAAATTCAACATAGTGCATTACCTTAATAACTATAAAAATAACACTCCACACGTGCAACCTCAAACATTAGTGCAAAAAACGTGAAAAAAAGAAGAAAAAAACACAGCAATGCTTGTGCCAAACTAGTGATGTGTTTCACTCCGTGTAAACCACTTCAAATAGTGTATCACTTCTAATACTCATAGCATATATACCCTTACCCTAATAAAATGAAAAAACGCTGTAAGATATCTAGTAGAGGACTCTGTAAAAACCACTCAGTCTCCTTGCCTCCACTCCTGACGTTATGATTAGAATCTCATCTCCTCATGGTACCGTAAGCCAGTCCCCCCGGTCTCCCGGCTCCACGCAGGATGTATATGAAAAGATTATAGTGTAATTCCGTATCATACCATGAAATATACTTTAATGAATCTGCTTACATGTATAAATAATAATCAGCACGTTAAAAGAAACCCCACATAGCTGGGGATTACCAGGCAGCTTCCAGGTGGATAACAGTGCGGCTCCACACTCCAAAATGGCCGCCGTATCACTTCCGGTTCCTGCTCAGTGCGTCCAACGTCACTTCCACTGACGCGTTTCGTCACATCTGGGACTTAATCTTAATCTCAAACTGTGAAAAGAATAGAATAACACAGAATGGAATAGAAAGAGTAAAACAGAACAGATTGAATAGAATAGAAAATAGAATAGAAAATAAAGGAATAGCACACAATAGAATATAACAGAATAGAATACGAAAAAATAGAATTGAATTGAATTGAAATTCAACAGAATTGAAAATATATAACTGTCTTTCAAAATTCGAATTTAGAATAGAATAGGACCAGCTATTCTTCACAATGTGGATCGTTTTGATATTTTTGATTCAAATTGGATTTAAATTTGGTTCCAATACTTTGAATCCATTGGAAAAATGTCATTACAAATGCAAAGAAATGAAAACGGCAACTCGATGAATTGATCTGAAATGCACAAATGTTTTCAATCAGCACGTCTACATTAGGCTCCACCCAAACACAGATGTCGAATTGATCCCGCCAATGATTAGAAAACAAATGAACATTCTTAGAAAATTCTTTCCCAAAGAATTTTCATTTGAAATGTTCCCCATCTATGGCCAGCTTGGGAGCTCAGTTCTGCGACAGCGCGCCTCCCGTGTTCATGTGTGGGAGCTCAGTACTGGAACAGCGCGCCTCCCGTGTTCATGTGTGGGAGTTCAGTACTGGAACAGCGCGCCTCCCGTGTTCATGTGTGGGAGTTCAGTACTGGAACAGCGCGCCTCCCGTGTTCATGTGTGGGAGTTCAGTTCTGGGACAGTGCGCCGCCTCCCGTGTTCATGTGTGGGAGCTCAGTTCTGCGACAGCGCGCCTCCCGTGTTCATGTGAGGGAGCTCAGTTCTGGGACAGTGCGCCTCCCGTGTTCATGTGTGGGAGCTCAGTGCTGGGACAGCGCGCCTCCCCCGGGAGCTCAGTTTCATCCCGTGTCATGTGGGAGCTCAGTGCTGGGACAGTGCGCCTCCCGTGTTCATGTGTGGGAGCTCAGTTCTGGTACAGTGCGCCTCCCGTGTTCATGTGTGGGAGCTCAGTTCTGGGACAGTGCGCCTCCCGTGTTCATGTGTGGGAGCTCAGTTCTGGGACAGTGCGTCTCCCGTGTTCATGTGTGGGAGCTCAGTTCTGGGACAGTGCGCCTCCCGTGTTCATGTGTGGGAGCTCAGTTCTGGGACAGTGCACCTCCCGTGTTCATGTGTGGGAGCTCAGTTCTGGGACAGTGCGCCTCCCGTGTTCATGTGTGGGAGCTCAGTTCTGGGACAGTGCGTCTCCCGTTCATGTGTAGGAGCTCAGTTCTGGTACAGTGCGTCTCCCGTGTTTATGTGTAGGAGCTCAGTTCCGGGACAGTGCGCCTCCCGTGTTCATGTGTGGGAGCTCAGTTATGGGACAGCGCGCCTCCCGTGTTCATGTGTGGGAGCTCAGTTATGGGACAGCGCGCCTCCCGTGTTCATGTGTGGGAGCTCAGTTCTGGGACAGCGCGCCTCCCGTGTTCATGTGTGGGAGCTCAGTTCTGGGACAGCGCGCCTCCCGTGTTCATGTGTGGGAGCTCAGTTCTGGGACAGCGCGCCTCCCGTGTTCATGTGTGGGAGCTCAGTTCTGGGACAGCGCGCCTCCCGTGTTCATGTGTGGGAGCTCAGTTCTGGGACAGCGCTCCTCCCGTGTTCATGTGTGGGAGCTCAGTTCTGGGACAGCGCGCCTCCCGTGTTCATGTGTGGGAGCTCAGTTCTGGGACAGTGCGCCTCCCGTGTTCATGTGTGGGAGCTCAGTTCTGGGACAGTGCGTCTCCCATGTTCATGTGTGGGAGCTCAGTTCTTGGACAGCGCGCCTCCCGTGTTCATGTGTGGGAGCTCAGTTCTGGGACAGTGCTCCTCCCGTGTTCATGTGTGGGAGCTCAGTTCTGGGACAGTGCTCCTCCCGTGTTCATGTGTGGGAGCTCAGTTCTGGGACAGCGCGCCTCCTGTGTTCATGTGTGGGAGCTCAGTTCTGGGACAGTGCGCGCCTCCCGTGTTCATGTGTGGGAGCTCAGTTCTGGGACAGTGCGCCTCCCGTGTTCATGTGTGGGAGCTCAGTTCTGGGACAGTGCGCCTCTTGTGTTCATGTGTGGGAGGAGTTCAGTCCTCAGTGGCTTCCCAAAGGCTGAAGAAAGAGGACAGCAGACCTGGAAGGAGACCAGGGTGTGAAGGCAATGGTGATGACGGTAAGGAGGGAGGTCGTTGAAGCAGCATGGCGGGAGCTAACAATCTGTAATCCTTTAGTTCCTCATTGCAGGAATGCTGGGAGGTAATTCTGCTATAATGTGCAAGCATGGTGGGAGCCATGGTGACACACAGGGCCGTGGACATGGCGGTACCACCCGTCCTACTGTACGGGGCCCAGGCCAGCAGGAGGGCCCAGGCAGCTGAGTGAATTGGATGTGAGCAGGGAGGGTGATCAGTACGGCAGGGGGGCAATTAATGGAACCGATCCCCTGTATGGATCTCTCTGCAGCAGCTGAAAGCCAGCTTCTTCTCCTGTCCCTCCCACTGGCTTTCAGCTGCTGCAGGGAACCATACAGGGGATCGGTTCCAGTAATTGCCCCCCTGCCGTGCCGAATGCCCTCCCTGCCCCCTTCTGGCCTGGACCCCATACAAGAGGACTGGTGGTTCCAGTAATTGCCCCCCTCGCCACACCCATCACCCTGCCTGTGCACCATACATTTCTCCCTTCTGCCCAGGCCCCCCCCCCCCCCACACTTCTGGCTTTCCTCCTCTCCTTTCTGCTGACTTCCAGCTGCTGCAGAGAGAGCCATACAGGGGATCGGCTCCAGTAATTTCCCCCCCTGCCGTACTGAACGCCTCCCTGCTCACATCCAATTCACTCAGCTACCTGGGCCCCCCTTCTGGCCTGGGCCCCATACAGGAGGACTGGTGGTACCAGTAATTGCCCCCTTTGCTGCACCCATCACCCTCCCTGTGCACCATACATTTTCCCCTTCTGCTCAGGCCCCCCTGTGTGCCCCCACCCCCACACTTCTGGCTTTCCTCTCCTCTCCTTCCTGCCGGTAGCTGCAAGCACACAACAGGATCCTTCCGGATGGAGAGTGGTGGAAGGGTCCGGTGAATATGTTACATTTACAAGCGACTTCCTTTCTTGAATGAACACAATGAGTGATCAGTACCAAACACTGTGTTCATTCATAACTGAAGTATAGTAAACTGTGTTTTTTTTGGGGGGGAAAGGGCTATCAGATTGGCTGTACGGGGGGGGGGGGGCATGGTTTATAACAGCAGCCCTGGTGACACGCAAACATTTCAGTAAATAAATGTCAACTCTTAAATACAAGGAGAATCCCCTGCAGGCCTGTATTAGTCTGTGACAGTGCCCGGAGGGCGGAGGTGATATGGAGGAGGGGTGGAGGGGATTCCCACCTAAGAAACACCCCAACACACCCTATACGTCATTTGGCATTGACTTTGGGTTTCCCTCATGACTTTAAAAAAGGAAAATGAAGTCATTTGTTGATGATACTTGTCTGGATAAAACATAATACTCAATACATAAGAGGGGATTAGTCACTCTGCCAGCCACACGTCTCCAGGGAGCGTGGAAGGAGTTCTCCAATCTCAACTGTTTATTTTTCTCTTCTTCCGGAGAAGTTCTGGGCCGGAGAAGTTCTGAGCCGGTGCCAATACAGAGTCTGTGGGGGGGGGGGGGGGGGGGGGGGGGGGGGAGGGGAGGGTTCAGTCCTTCCGTCACTATCACCTCCATGAGCTCTCCCACATGAAAGAAAAATATATTGTAAATGCTACAATTTTGGCCATATTCAATATATTTCAAAATATATTTTTTTAAAAAAAGTGTGTATGTGTGTTGAAATATTTTTTTTATATATTACAAAATATATGACAAATATTTAAAAAAAATATACTTTTTTAAATATATTCTTCAGATTTTTTTTTAACATATAAAAAAAAAGTCATTTTAACATATTTTTACATATATTTGTAAAGGCGTTCCAAAAATGTAGATGAAATGTATTTGTAAAGACATACAGTCAGGGGCGGACTGACAACTCATGGGGCCCCTGGGCAATAGGGGATCATGGGGCCCCTGTGTCCTCGCCCACACTCAAAAAAGCCTATGAAAAAGGTACCAGGGGCATCTCATGGGGCCCCCTACTGACCCCGGGCCCTCGGGCAGTGCCCGAGTTTCCAAATGGTCAGTCCGCCCCGGCATACAGTATATTTGCGAATGTATTTTTCAAAATATTTTTCATATATTTTGTAATATATAAAAAACACATTTCAACATACAGTATATATATATATTATTGTACAGGATTTATGGCGCCAACAGTTTGCTCAGCACTTTACAATATAACGGGAGACAATACAGCAACAATACAGTTCAATACAAGAGGGATAGGAGGGCCCTGATCCTGGGAGCTTACAATCTAGGATATATAGATATATATATATATATATATATACACACTGTATATATAAATATATTTTGAAATATATTGTATGTTGAGTTCTGTGTCAATGTTAAACCACCTAATGTGATTCTTCTGGTAAGGGCTCTGCTCTTGTGTTCCCAAGTCTGTACACCCACCATGGCCATGACAAGGGGCCCACATGGAAGACATATATATTTGAAATATATTTAAAAAATATTATTCCCAAATATATTGACATATATTTGAGATGCTACAATTTTAGCCATATTCAATATATTTCAAAATATATTTCAATAAATACATAACAAATATACTGTATGTCTTTAAAAATACAAATCTACATTTTTGGAATGCATTTACAAATATATGTTAAAATGACTTTTTTATATGTTATTTAAAATATTTTTATATTATTTTAAAAAAATATATTCTTCAGATTTTTTCTTTACATATATATATTTGTAAATGCATTCCAAAAATGTAGATTTGTATTTTTAAAGACATACAGTATTTTTGAAATGTACTTTAAAAATATTTTTCATATATTTTGTAATAAAAAACGCATTTCAACATGCAATATAATATATATTTATTTATTTATTGAAATATATTTTGAAATATATTGAATATGGCCAAAATTGTAGTATTTCAAATATATGTCAATATATTTGGGAAGAATATTTTTAAAATAAATTTCAAATATATTTTTCTTCCATATGGGGGGGGGGGGGGGTCCTGCTATTTTTAATAATCCTTAATGAAATGTACAATATGGCCAGTCAGCGAGAGGAGCAGGGTCGCCCCTGTGTGGGTGGGAAATAGACACAAGCATGCCGCACATTTTTGTTTTGTTTCCAATGTATTCATTCACTGAAGAATTTTGTTTTGTCATATTTGTTATGTTGAAGCGATTTGTTTTCGGAATTCATTTCGTATCTTCAGGACTCGTTTCGGATATTCGTCGGTCTGGGTGCATTTCTCGCAGTTTTTCAGGAAGATTGCTATATATTCTAAATATTATCAAATCGGAAGAATACAATATTTTCAGACGCTAGTCCATCCCACCAAGAGAGGGCATGAGCTGATTGGTCATTATCTGGCGTCATGTGCACCCCAATTGACGAATGGAACGAAACTTGGATCCATTTGTTATCCAAATCCGAATTACCGAACAAATTCAAAATGTAATTCATTTCACCACCGTGAGCCAGAACTTCTATCGCATCATGTGACGTCATCCGAATAAAACAAATGCATTCATTAATTTCATTATGATTTTATTTGGATTGGTTGACATTTGTCCATAAAGAAATTCGTATACATTCGAGTCTCTGAAAATGAAATTTTCGTCTGAAAAATGGATCATAATGAAACGCGCATGTCTAGAGGGAAGGAAGGAAAAAAAGCAACTTTATTGTTCTGGACAAACAAGCAAAGTGCCCACACCTACAATCTGTACTCCAACATGTTTCACCTACAGAGCATGCCTTAATCATAGAGCTTTTTTGAAATTAAACCAAGATTCATGGATGAAACGAGTCAGCAAGGAGGTCAGACAGGGACTCCTTGTTTGTCTACAAACTTTTTAAACAAAGGCCACGTTTACTGTCCTTCAGACTTTAGGGGGGCCAGACTGTGCCCAGCAGGAGTAAACAATACCCCATCTTTGGTATTAGGTGGAGAAATAGTTGGTTTCAGTCGGAGGAATAGTTCCACATCGTTAGTGTCAATGTGAGGAATAGTGCCCCATAGTTGGTGTCAATGTGAGGAATAGTGCCCCATTGTTGGTGTCAGTGGAGGAATAGTGCCTCATTGTTGGTGTCAGTGGAAGGAATAATGCCCCATCATTGGTGTCAGTGGGAGGAATAGTGCCCCATCATTGGTATCAGGTGGGGAGGAATAGTGCCCTATTGTTGGTGTCAGAAAGAGGAATAGTGCCCCATCATTGATGTCAGTGGGAGGAATAGTGCCCCATCATTGGTGTCAGTGGGAGGAATAGTGCCCCATTGTTGGTGTCAGTGGGAGGAATAATGCCCCATCATTGGTATTAGTGAGAGGAATAGTGCCCCATCATTGGTGTCAGTGGGAGGAATAGTGCCCCATCATTGGTGTCAGTGGGAGGAATAGTGCCCCATCATTGGTGTCAGTGGGAGGAATAGTAGTGCCCCGTCATTGGTGTCAGTGGGAGGAATAGTGCCCCATCATTGGTGTCAGTGGGAGGAATAGTGCCCCATCATTGGTATCAGTGGAGGAATAGTGCCCCATCATTGGTGTCAGTGGGAGGAATAGTGCCCCATCATTGGTGTCAGTGGGAGGAATAGTGCCCCATCATTGGTGTCAGTGGGAGGAATAGTGCCATATCATTGGTATTAGTGTGAGGAATAGTGCCCCATCATTGGTGTCAGTGGGAAGGAATAGTGCCCCATCATTGGTGTCAGTGGGAGGAATAGTGCCCCATCATTGGTGTCAGTGGGCGGAATAGTGCCCCATCATTGGTGTCAGTGGGAGGAATAGTGCCCCATCATTGGTGTCAGTGGGAGAAATAGTGCCCCATCATTGGTATTAGTGGGAGGAATAGAGCCCCATCATTGGTGTCAGTGGGAGGAATAGTGCCCCATCATTGGTGTCAGTGGGAGGAATAGTGCCCCATCATTGGTGTCAGTGGAGGAATAGTGCCCCATCATTGGTGTCAGTGGGAGGAATAGTGCCCCATCATTGGTGTCAGTGGGAGGAATAGTGCCATATCATTGGTGTCAGTGTGAGGAATAGTGCCCCATCATTGGTGTCAGTGGGAGGAATAGTGCCCCATCATTGGTATCAGTGGGAGGAATAGTGCCCCATCATTGGTATCAGTGGGAGGAATAGTGCCCAATCATTGGTGTCAGTGGGAGGAATAATGCCCCATCATTGGTGTCAGTGGGGAGGAATAGAGCCCCATCATTGGTGTCAGTGGGAGGAATAGTGCCCCATCATTGGTGTCAGTGGGAGAAATAGTGCCCCATCATTGGTGTAGTGGGAGGAATAGAGCCCCATCATTGGTGTCAGTGGGAGGAATAGAGCCCCATCATTGGTGTCAGTGGGAGGAATAGTGCCCCATCATTGGTGTCAGTGGGAGGAATAGTGCCCCATCATTGGTATTAGTGGGAGGAATAGTGCCCCATCATTGGTATTAGTGGGAGGATTACTGCCCATCATTGGTGTCAGTGGAAGGAATTATACCCCATCGTTGGTGTCAGTGGCAGGAATAATGCCTCAAGGGCCAGAAAAAGGCAAGCAAAGGGCCACATCTGGCCCCTGGGCCGCAGTTTGGAGACCACTGGTATAGAACAATAAGATTACCATGTATAAACTTTCCTGGAATGCTTTTTATTTCCTAGACTTTCACAATTAGTGGGGCACAGGCCCCCCGTTTGTGCTCAGCACCCGGGTCTTGCGGAGAATGACCCAATCTAGGATTTGGGAGCAGCTCACTCTGCTTTTTTTATTGTGTGCTCTTAGGACTGCCGTACATGGAGTGATCTTTCATAGAACATGACCGAAGAACAGAAACACTTCTATATCTTAAATATTTCTCTTCTGCAAAGAAAGATGACCAGGCTGGAATTTAGGACCATATTTAGCACTTTTCTTTCCTTCTCTTGCTTGTGCTTCTTTTCTCTCCAGTATTCTAAAATGCCCACAAAGGATCGACTTGTTATATTTCAAAGACAAAGATAACATAATTGATCGTCTCATATATCCATTGTTTTCTGTTCATCGATACACTGAATACTTAGCACAGTGATTTGATGTCGGGAATGCCTCTTCCCTTTTTGATACAATGCGTAATACTTCACGTTTCCTGTTCCTGAAATTGTGGAATTATATAATCGCCTGGAACGAAAGTCTTGTGGTTACTGTTTTGGACAACAAAACTATTGGAGGAGAGCCCATGTTAGCAGCTTTGGCACAAATGTATAATAAAAACAAAATGACTAATGCAAGTGATTCTTGCAACTTTCTAGATACACAGTAAATGATGGTTGATAGCCAATAGCAGTGGGAGAGTTGAAGTGACCCCTTATGTTGGTTATTAGTAGAAGTGACCCCTCTCGTTGGGGGTCAGTAAGAAAAGTGACCCCTTACAGCGGTGGTCTGCAGATGATTTCCCCCATTACGAGGGGTGGGAGTAGTAATGTGTCTCCTTACATTGGTGGTCAGTAGGAGCAGCGTCCCCTTAAATTGGTAATCAGTAGGAGAATTGCCCCTGTACATTGGTGGTCAGTAGAAGGGACCCCTTACATTCTTATCCAGTTGGAGAAGTGACCCTTATGTTAGGGGCCAGTAGGAGAAGTGACCCCTTACTTTTGGGACCAGTAAGAGAAGTATTTCCTTCCGTTGGGTGTCAGTAGGAGAACTGTCCCCTTACATTGTAGTCAGTAGGAGAAATGTTCTCTTACATTGTGGTCAGTAGGAGAAATGTCCCCTTTGGTTGGTCATCAGTAACAGAACTGTCCCTTTATGTTGGTGGTCAGTATGAGAAGTGTCCCCTTCGGTTGGTCATCAGTAACAAGATTGTTCCCTTATGTTGGTGGTCAGTATGAGAAGTGTTCCCTTCGGTTGGTCATCAGTAACAAGATTGTTCCCTTATGTTGGTGGTCAGTATGAGAAGTGTCCCCTTCGGTTGGTCATCAGTAACAAGATTGTCCCCTTATGTTGTTGGTCAGTATGAGAAATATTCCCTTCGGTTGGTCATCAGTAACAAGATTGTCCCCTTATGTTGGTGGTCAGTA